GTGTGCGTGTATTTATTCATTCGAAATTGCTTTGCGCGCACCGATTCTGCAATCAGATTCGCTTCCGGTCTCGTAGCCGCGAATCCTTTTGTGCGTTAGCAGGAAAAGCGGGGGTGCGAATATACAAGCGGACCAGCGCGAGTGGACCGCTGGCGCAGTCGCTGGCGCGCCAAGGAGCCTTGCCTGCGCGCCTCGGGCGCCCTTTTTCGGCGGCTCTTTGAAAACAGCTCGGGCGCCCAGGGGGCCCGTTAAAAACAATTCGGGGCCCCCGGGGGCTCGGGGGCCTGATGGGTTCTTCAACGTTACGTGCGCGCGTGCAAGCATTGGATGAGGCGCTCTAGGCGGCCTCGGGGGGGCCCCCAGGCAGGCGCAAGGCGGGGTGCGCAGTCTACCCTTTGAGCCCGCAGCATCTACGCCAGGTACTAGGGCCTCTGGCTCAGTCGTCGCCTTATCATCGAAAGGCCTGCGCTGCCGCGCTAGCCCCCCCCCCCCCCGTCGCAATGCCATCGGCGATGACGAAGAGCGACCGATTCCTTCTACGATGCATTCTCGGCTCGCGCGTGCAATGCGGCGGGCAATGAGACCTCGCGATGGGTTTTCCGCAGCCAAGCAAGGCTGCTATATTCCATTGCCTCTCTGGACCCAGAGTCGACGTCGGGCGCCGTTCGGACGCCGTTTCGGCAGACGACGCTAGCAATAGACAACGTCGGAGACGGCGAGCGCGAACGACGAGGGGGAGGGGGGCGACGAGCACGAACGGCGAGAAGGACGAAAGTGGGGGAGTAGGGGGCAGGGCGAAGGATGGAGGGAGGGAGGGGCTGGTGGAGGAGGAGGAGGGGGGGCCCCCTCCCCCTCCCCCCACCTCGCCTTCCCCTCCCTGTCTTCCGCCCCCTCCCCCTCCTACGTCCTCTCCCCCTATACTCCCCCTCCCCTCTTCCCGTCCCCATCGTCCTCCTCCCCCGCCTCCTCGCCCCCCGCCGCCCTCCTCCTGCGGCCCCATGTCCTCCTCCTCCTCCTCCTCCTCCTCCTCCTCCTCCTCCTCCTCCTCCTCCCCATCTTCCTCCTCCTCCTCCTCCCCATCCTCCTGCTCTTTCCATCCCTTCTCATGACTTCTGCCATTGTCCCCTTTCCGCGACGACGCGGCGATGGCAGCGGCGGCGGATGGAGGCGCGGGCCGTTCTCTTCCGGCAACGCAGCCGCCACTGCGGCAATTCCACCAGCGATGGGGCCCATCTCCTCGCACTGGTTCTCGCAGCTATCGAATGCGTCGAGCGCGAATGCTCCTCAGCTCCTCAGGCAAGCCGCCCCCGCCATTCTGCCCGTCGCCCAACGCGCATCACCAGCCGCGAATAATAGTCGGGCCATCGTCCGAGTCTTTCTTCTGGAAATTCAGGGTTTCGAATCCGCTGGACTTCGCCGTCGCCGGACGCCTCCCGTTCGAAGCCGAACTGTTTGAGTTCCCGACCAACTCTGACGCCGTGCCGCCGAGAGCCGCGGTGTCACCTGAGGCCGCCGAGATAGCGTCCACCGCGACATCATTCACCATCTCCGCCTCTGTGCGGATGTCCCTCAAGAACTTGCCCATATTTGAAATCTGGAAGCCCTGCTTGATGAAGTACGCCTGCGCGTTCTTCAGGTCGGCGCGGCACGTTTTCGGCCTGGGCCGCTGTAGAATAGCATTGCCAATCGCAGTCGTCGCGACGTTAATCCGAATGTCTCCCTCCAAGTCCACGGCCTTCTCGTGCTCCTCGATCATGCCCAGAACGGTTGCCACCCGCTTCGAGTCCTCATCGGACTTCAGCATCTACGGTAGGTAGCCGAGGCGATGCGGTGCGTCAGCTTAGCCGTCTTTCCCATGCGGTCGCATAGCGCCATCTGTTCCTCGACCTCGTTGTCCTTGACCTTCTCGATCCACGGGCGCGCGGCCCAGTCGCCGTTCACCGCCGCGGGAACCGCGACCTTGAAGAAGTCGCGGGCGCCCGCGAAGCACCGGACAGTGTCGGACGTCGCGATCCATGCAGTAATTTCGTTGTCGTATGTTTTGTTCATCTTCAGGCTCACCTCCTTCATGTCCAACTCTCTGTTGTGTGTGTTGGTCTGGGGAAGCTGGCGGCAATCGGCGGCTGCTCCAGCGATCTCCGCGAGGCTCACGGGCTCGTCCTTGGACAGGCGGGCCAGAACTGCCACGACGTTGTCGCGCGCCTTGGCTGCGTTCAAGATCTCGCTGCACTTCGGCGGGAAGAGGTTCTTCAACTGGGCGGCCTACTGGATGATGCCGTCATCGAGGCTCTTCCGGACGTTCAGCACCTCCTCGGAGGCCTCCGTCGCTGCCTTCTCGATCGAAACCGACCGCAGCGTCGTCGGGGGGGTCGTGGTCTCAGACCCGCGGGCGCCAAGGGGCGCGTCGGCGATGTCGACGCGACCCCGACGAACCCAGAAGCCAGACCACGCACGGAGGACGCCCAGGTAGTCCGCGTCGTCTTCCCCCGCCTCTGCGTCGCCGACGTCGCGAAGGAGATCGAGCCTTGCGCGGAACCCGAAAGTCAGTTTACTCCATGGCCGATCTTTGTCAAACGTCCCCTCCAAGCTGTCGCAGAAGAACACCGGCTGCAACGCGCGCAAGAAAGTACTCGCGGCGGCTTCGGGGCCCTCGCCCTGCCCATGGCCGCCAGGAGGAGGGCAGTCCAGCATCGACTCAATGACGCGCGGGGTGAGGGCGTCGCCAATGGCCCCCCTCGATCACTTCGGCGACGTCGGAGATTAGCTTTTCGAGTAAAGATCTGGCGATGGTAGTGGCTATGTCCTGCGATGCTGCGTCGCAGTTCATGATGGTCAGCAACTGCGCTGCTTCCAGGGTATTGGCAGACGCGCCTCCGTCGATCAGGTTTCCGACCAGCAGCAGGGCGCCCTCGCGATTCTTCTTGGCCCAGACGGATTTGGAACGACTCGCCACTGACTGCGGGTCGCTCCCCAAGGCCGCGATATTCCCCACCGTGCCCCAACAGGCAACTCCGAGATGGGAGGGTTTACCCTTCTTGCTGGAGAAGGTTTGGAGCCTCGAGCTGACTTCGGATTTCTTGTCCAGCACAACCCTGGCGACAGTGGCGCCCTGGGGGCAGCCGTCGACGCCGTGCCCCAAGAAACCCGAAACTGACGCGCCGAGGCCCAAGTCCACGCGAGCTTGGGCAGACCAACCAACTGGTGCCACGGAGCTCGCAAGACGTCGTTCTCGGCGGCGTTGGGGGCGCCCGGGTCGACGAGGACACTCCGCGTTGTCTGAAAATACTCCATGGGTGCGGTGGGGGTCTTTTCGGCGAGCTCCAGGACGACGCGCTGCTGGGCATTGTCGCGGCACGCCTCGGGAAGGAGGCCGCAGTTTATCGAGTCGCCACTCGAAAACATTGCGAGCCTCAAGGTCGATCTGGCCGCCGAGGTGGCACGCGAATCGATGCCGAGCCCTCTGGGCCCAGAAAATTCTGTCGCGGAAATTGCCGCGGCGCCCGCGGCGACGAATGCATGCGACATCAGCTTCGGGCTCAACTTCTGGACCGTGTGCTTCTGAGCCGCGTTGAGCGCCCCACCCATGAACGCCCCAGGGTCGTCGCGGGCTTCCCCGAGGAGTGCCGGGGTGAAGTTCAGGCGCCCCAACTCGTCCAAGACATTCTGCGCCGTGCTGGTCACGCCCTCCTCCTTTGGGCCCCCGCTCCCCGACTGCATGCGCGAACGCTTATTCGACGCATTCGCGAGCAAGTCGACCCGCGATTGCAAATGCCGAGCCCGCGGGGGGCGGTCCCGCATGTTCGCGTTGCCGAACTTGTCGATGGCCATGCTAAGGCGATCCCCGCACGCGCCCAAGATTTTTCCCGCGTTGCGTGACCTCACATGGCGCGTAATAGATTACATATCTTTGGTGCCCCCTTTGCCCTCGACCTCCTCTGCGTTGGGCCCGACTTCCGATGGGGCATCTTTTGTAGTTGCCGCCTTGCCCTCGCCCTTGCGAAAGGGAAAGGCCTTCTCGAGCCTGAGCTCGAAGTTGGGACGCCTCCTGCTGGGCGTCGACGCGTGGCAGCGCTGTCATAGGAGCGGCCCCCCCCCCCTGCACGACGAAGCCTCACTAGATCCGCGGGCGTGCCCAACGCCTTTCCGCGCTTGGGGATTCGGCGCGGCTGACGGGCTGACCTCGGGGGCCGCGCCAGTGCTCGAAGGCGCCTCGCCCTGCAACTCCGCGAAAGCCTCAGCGGAGATGTCATCGGCCCCATCCTCGAAGTTGACAATATTATGTAATGGTGTCGCCTCCGATGTTCCCTCTCTGTACTTGTGCGATGCCCCCGCGGCATGTTCTGTTCTTTCGCTCCGAGGTCGCCGAACTTGCCCTGGGCGACTTCAACATCTGGGTAGTTCTCGCGAAGCCAGGACATCGGCTGCGCGTAATTCCAGCCGCGGAAGTTTCGCTCAGGGCCGAGCAGACGAACGCACTCCGTAAGCTTGTAGAACTAAGCCTCGACGACATCATCCTTGAAATCCTTGGAGGTAGGCGCTGCCTCGGTGCTCCGGTGGCCCTCCTCGAGCCTGGTGCACTTGGCATCGCCGCGCGCGTGCGACCGCCGGTGGCACTGGGGCGTCTCCTTGAATTTCTCGAGGAGGAGGAGGAGGAGCAGGAGCAGGAGCAGGAGGAGGAGGAGGAGGAGGAGGAGGAGGATCGATCTTTCTGTTTTTTCCCAACCATCCTGTGGCGTTGGGTCCTCGTTTTGAAGAGACGGTGCCCCGCGTTCCTCGTCTCATCCTTCCCCCCCCCCCTCCCTCCTCCCATCATCATCATCATCGTCATCATCATCATCCGTAGCCATTTTGGCTCAAGTTGGAACCATTGCTCCGTGGCTCCAGCTTGGGAGCAGCCGAGGAGCAGCTCGAGGGTCTCGGCAGATAGGCTGCCAGCGTCCCCCTGCACTACCACCCCACTGAGTGCATGCCCTCTCTGCCCCTCTCCAGACCCGACCGCCATGGCGGTCGATATGGCCGCGATCCAAGCTATGTTTCAAGCTATGTTTGACACCCAGTTCGCCAAGATCGAGAAATCGATCGATGATAAGGTCGCGGGTCTTGCTGCCACTGTTGGAGTACAAGGTCAGATGTTGAATGAGATCACCGACCGCCTCGAGAAGTCCGAGAATCGCCTCAATGCCATGGAACAGATGGCTCAGGTGAGCGCCCGTTTGCCCCCTCTTGCTAACAGTCGAGGAGGTAAGCGCCGTGCAGTTGACAGCTCGGTTGGGGACGGGCCCACCACAGGAGGGAGTGCAGGAGGAGGATCGTCGCTTGAGGATGCCCACCGTCTGCTCATCCTTGGGTTCCAGGATCGATTGATGGCCACTACTCTCGAGAGGGTTGCGAAGGACATCATCTCTAAGTGTGCGACCGTGCAGGCAGCCAGTCTCATTCGAACTCGCGCGTATGATCTCCAGAAGAAAGTTACCCTGGACTTCCCTACCCCGGCCATGGACTCGGACTTCCAGATGAATTTCAGGAAGCTGAGTGAGAGTTCCGGCATGGTTAACCCACGGAATCAGCAGGATGTTTGGCCCCTCCGTGTTCGTCGTAACCTGTCTCCTCAGCGTCGGCTTCTTCTTCAAGATGGGGAAGGTAAGGGGCGCGGTCTAGGAAGAGCTTTCCAAGGTTGAGTTGCAGGCCAATTCTAATGGCATCGGCGGGGATGTCTTCGGCCTTCGCTCGCGCGAAGATCCAGTTCCTCTCTTCCGCCTCACCTGTTGCCCTCAGAACTCGGATGTGATCCACCTTCGCCCAGATGAAGCAGGTCTTAACGCTCTTGGACTAAACGCTCCTGAGATCCGTGCGAAATTCGAGGCTGCGTTTGCCGCTGAGCCCACGCGTCCCTTTTGAAGTTGAATCTGACAGGTTAGGCCGCCCTGGGGGGCAAATTTTTGTGGTTTTTTCCCCCGGGGGCCTCCAGGAACTTTTTGGCGGGTGCCCTCCGCGCCCGAGAAGGCAGGATCGAGTTTAACCTGTCCTCCAGTTTTGTTGCTAGTAGCTCGAGCAGTTCCGACTCCGGCTCGAGCTCTTCTTCGCCCAGTGGGGGTCTGCCCGCTGAATCGTCGCTCCCCTTTTCCCCATCCCCCTTCCTGCTCTCTGTCTTTGCTCACTTGGAACTCTAGGGGGCTCTTCGCTTCCATTCACCACTCCCCCCTGCGGGCCTCTCGTCGGTACAAGCAGCTTCTGGGATTGTCTCGGCGTTCCAGTATTTCGTGTGTGCAAGAGACCCATGGCACAGCTGGTGATGCAGCAGCTCTCCAGGCAGATCTGCAAGGTTGGTCGATTGGATTCTCAGGGCATACCTCGGACATTGCTGGTGGTGTTCTTACACTGATCTCTCCTGCTCTCTGCGCTCTCTTCACGGACATTCGGCATTACAATATTGATGAAGGCCGTATCCTGGTCTCTAAATGCTACGGTCGACGGGGCGCTCTCTGGGTCCTTAGTGTACACCTGCCTACATCGGGGGAGCCTATGTGGGCATTTCGGAGATCTCTGAGGCTTATTCGGAACGCTCTGGGGACTCCTGACGCTCTGGTTATGATTGGTGGGGACTTCAATTTTGCCCTTGAGGAGGATGGCCGTCAGTGCGGGGATGGATCGGGGTGGAGGCCTGGTGATCGATATAGGCATGATATGTTCCACTCGTTCTTCCCTCGTTGGACTGAGGTCCACCAGCCAGATCCTACCCGTCGTGAGATTGTCACTGGGGAAATCTGCCATGTGAGCCGACTTGACCGTCTGTATATTGCCTCTCCTTTTGTTGTTCTCTCTGATCCCTCCATCGCGTGTTCAGTTATTGGCAAAGCCACGACTACGCAGAACGTCCCTGGCCATATTCTTGTCCTGGCCACGTTTCGGAAGTACCAGCCTTCTGAGAATCCCTCTATCCCTCCGCGGGTTGGGACACATCCGCGGGTTCATGTTGAGCTCGAAGCCCTCCTGTGCGAAATGGATTGGACTTCGCATATTAATGATCAGGTTGCTGTGGTCAAGAGATGTATGTTTGAGGCGTGCAAGCGGACGCGTGACTTCCTCTCCCATCAAGTCGCTCGGACTGCAGATGTCATAGTGGCTCTTTCTTTGGAGACGAAAAAGGGGCGCGCGCCGAAATCCATTCCAGACGAAATTGAGGTTTTTCTTAGAGTTTCAGTGTGCAGGCGCGCCCTGCCGCGCGGTGGTTCCCAGACGCACATTAGAGCGTGCTGACGTATAATGCGAGGCATTCACATTGCACGTTGCGCATGCTATCGCGTGCAAATCACGCATGGCTTGAGCTACTTCGCAGACGCTTTCTGGCGAGGCCCTTCGAGGGCCCTCTCAGGGCCCGCCGGGGTCGCCGAGTGCCGCGAGCTTCTGGCAGCCATTGTCGACAGTTGGCAAAAGCAACGTCGCCGAAATGGTCGCCGAAAGAGCCGTCGAAAGGGCCGCCGAGATTGCCGCCGAAGGAGCCGCCGAAAGAGCCGTCGGAAGGGCCGCCAGAATTGCCGCCGAAATTGCCGCCGAAATTGCAGCCGAAATCGCCGCCGAAATTGCCGCCGAAATTGCCGCCGAAATTGCCGCCGAAATTCCAGACGGTTCCGCCGAGAAAAGACCGAATTTGACCTTGGCTGTGACTCTATGCCTGTGTCCGCGGCGTCATCGCGCTTACTGGAACAGCGATTTCGCTTGCGACGGGGCAATGAAAATCTCGGCGGCTGAATTTCGGCGGCGAACTCGGCGGCTGAATTCCGGCGGCTATTCTGGCGGAGTTCGCAATTATTTCGGCGGCAATTTCGGCGGCAATTTCGGCGGCAAGTTCGGCGGCAAGTTCGGCGGCAATTTCGGCGGCAATTTCGGCGGCGATTTCGGCGGCAATTTCGGCGGCAATTTCGGCGGCGATTTCGGCGACGATTTCGGCGGCCCTTTCGGCGGCCCTCCTGGCGGCCCTTTCAAGGACCATTTCGGCAGTTTTGCTTTTGACAGCTGTCGACGAATGCTGCTGGGAGCTCGCGGCGCTCAGCTTCGGTACAGAGTCGATGCGCGGCGACGCAGACTGACCTGACCTCAGCCCGACGATGATTGTAAAAATTGTTATCTTGTGGTTTTGGCGGTGATGATGGCGACGGCCGCGGTAATGTTTGGTTCAACATGGATGCTCGTCAGGGGGCATTACAGGCTGGCCTGCGCGCCCAGCGCTGCATGCTTTCAAACAAGAAAAAAATGTCGCGCAACTCCTTCGGAATTCGGCGGCTATTTGGGTGGCCGCGGTGGCTCCAAAGGGTTGTCCTCGGTGACAGATGAGAATATTCACTTTTCATTGGCTGCGTTGAGGGGTCTTCGTGCACGGCATGCACAGCGGGTCTCGTCTGCCATATCCTGCTACCCTCACCTGTCCCGCTTCTTCGTCATCGACCCTCTCACCTGTCGGAATCTTCCTGCGCTTTGTGCTCACATCCAGTCGCTCCAGAACCTTCGGCTGTCTGAGTTAGAGCAGAATGTTGACAAAGAGACTGATTTGGAGATTAAGGCTCGGCTGCGTTCCAGGTTACAAATGCGTCGTGAGCTCTGGAGGCCTCTTCAGAAACGGATCTCTCTTGGGACTATCCTGGACTCTGGTGGTGCCCCGTGCAGCGCCATTGAGGAGGCGGGGGAGGAGCTGGCTCGGCACTGGGAAACGGTCTTTGATGAGTTCGATTGCGACACTTCTCTCTGGCCTGAGCTTGAAGCTCACATCTCTCCCGTCCGTCCCCTTCCTGATGCTCAGTGGCGGCTTTGCTTTGAGGACTTTGAGAATTGTTGACGCTTCGCGCATCCCCACCAGCCCATCCAGAAACGATGCTCAGGGGAGTTGAGGTGATCAGGGAAGTCGGGGAGCATGCAGAATAACAAAGGGCGGGGGAAGCTGTCACAGACCCCGAGAGGGGGAGGATGGAAGAGTCGTCGTCGTCGTCGTCGTCGTCGTCGGAGGAGGAGGAGGAGGAGGGGGGGGGGAGGAGGAGGAGGAGGAGGAGGACGGAGAAGGAGGAAGAATCGGAGGAGGAGGAGGAGGAGGGGAAGGAGCTTCTTGGGGGTCTTTTGAGGGCCTCTTGGAGGGCTTTTTGGGCGCCTTGGGGCATCTTGGGCGCCTCTTGGGACCCTCTTGAGGCGCTCTGGGGAGCCTTCGGGGCGCTTTTGGGGCCATCTTGGAGGGAGTCGATCAAACAAGAGGGGGGGTTTAATTAGCGCCCCCCCTCGGAAGCCCCTAAAATCGCCTCTTGGACCCCTCTTGGAACGCTCTTGGAGTGCTCTTGGGCGCTCTTGGGGCCGTCTTGGGGCTCTTTTGGGGCTCTCTTGGGGCCCTCTTGGGCCATCTTGGAGCCATCTCCAGGCCTCGGATGGCCATCGGAAGCGAAAAGGCGAGAAAGCAAAAATCATTGATTTTCCTTAGGTTTTGGGACGATTTTGGCCTCTTCGGGGCCTCCTTGGGGAGCTGTTTGGCCACTTGGAGTTATCTTGGGGCCGTCTTTGGGCTTCTTGGAACCATCTTAGGAGCCATCGTGAGCGATCTTGCGCTATCTTGAGCCATCTTGGAGCTCATCTTGGGTTCTCTGAGGCGCTCTTGGAGCCGTCTTGGGCCATCTTGGACGCTCTAACTACCCGCGGCCCCCCCCGTCCAGGTCCAGGGGAGGGGGTAGGGGGAGGGGTAAACCCCTCCCCAAGGGGGAAGAGGGAGGGGTGGAAGAGGATCTGCTCTAGACCACCTACGCCCAGAGGGCTGGTGGGATTTGGTAAGGGGGCGTCGCGACTCGATGCCAGGGCCAGATGGGCTTGTTCATTCCTGCTGGAAGTCTCCTATCCCGATTGCGGTCCTGCATGGTCTCCACTGCCATCTATTTGACCATCGTGCTTGCGACATGTCTCCTTCCATGCGGGAAATGATTCTTGTTTTCTCAGCCAAGGGGGAGAATCCGACGGATCTTACTGCTTGCCCATCTCGGTATCCTGATGCATGTCGTCCTCTTGCCATGGCCAACAATGACTGTAAGATAATGTCTGTGGCGCTCTCTTCCCAACTGGAGAAAGAAGCGCGCGAGAGCGCACACAAGGTTCAGGCCTGCATTCGAGGGAGGTCTATGACAGACCAGATTCTTGAGGCGGAGTGTTGGGGGGGTTCAGCAGTGCATGACAAGGATGGACCTGGCTTGCATTTTCTTGACCGACTTTGCTGCTGCGTTTCCGAGCATTGTGATTTCCTGGCTTCTTCGGGTGCTGTTCCCGATGGCAGTTCCTCCTGGAGTGGTTGTTTTTTTTTTTTTTTTTTTTTTTTTGTTCGAGGCGCTGTGCTCTGATAACCTGGGGACCGGCTGCTTTGGAGGGAAGCGCCATAGAGCGATGCGCTTGCTACGGGGCGTTCGCCAAGGGGGTCCCTCCGGCATGCTGCTCTTCGCTCTCGCTCTCGACCCGTGCATTCGTTGGCTTTGTAGTCGTCTTCCTCGGCAAATCTTGGCATATGCTGGCGATTTGTGGTTTGGGCTTCGGGATGTGAACGTTGATCTACCGATCCTTCTCCCGCTGCTTCAGCGTTTGCATCCTGGGATTGGGCTTGCCCTGAACATGAAGAAGTGTGTCCTGATCCACTGTGGTCTGAGTCGCTCTCCGCGGTCGTCTCGGCTGATTCGCAGGTTACCCGCTAGTCTTGGGAATGAGGCCGATGCTATCGGGTTGGTTCGGCATGCTCGATATCTGGGGATTCAGATTGGTCCAGAAGGCTGGAAGCACGCTTGGGGCACTGCGTTGCAGAGGTTTCATCAGCGTTGTATTGAGATTCGGAGACTTCGGATTTGGCTCGCTATGACCACTAGGACGTACGTGATATTCGCCGTCTCGGTTCTCAGGCTTGTGATGCAGTTCTATCCTCCGTCGTCGGCTGTCCTGAAGTGCGAAGGGAACATGCGACAGAAGCTCATGGCGGGTCCTCGGTTTGCCTTCAACAGACGGATGTGTACCAGGATGTGCGGCCTCGGCCGATCGCTGGAGTTCCCTGATCTGGCCCAGATCGGTATTGCTACTCAAGTTCGTCTTGCCCACAACAGTGCTGCATTCCCGCGAGTCCGTGGTCTGATTTTTGGTCTTTCCCAGGAGGACGAATTCCACCCTGCTCGGATGCGGCACCCTTGGTGGCAGCGCACGTTCTGTCGGTCTCTTATTGACGCGTGGAATGGGCACATCCAGCTGTGCGCTGGCTTTCTTCAGACCTCGGGGTTTCAAAAGAAGCTCACGCGAATCCTTCGTCTCCGTGCTCCTCCGATCTCTCCTATCCGTTGCCTTCACGCCCGGGTGATCCGATGGGCCCCTGGGGTCTTTGTCGCCCAGGTCTCGGCCGCCGTTCAGGTTGCCCGCAAGGTCTGCAAGGAAAGGTCTCTCTACCTGGGGCTCGCGGTCTTACGTGTCCTGGCGAGGGGTGTCTGTGCCAGTGCTAGATTTCATCATGGGCATGTTGGATGCTGCTGGGACTGCGGTGCCCCCGGGACCAACGACTCTATGGAGCACTATGCGGTATGGCCCCATGCCTCCATCCTTTTTTTAGCGAAGAGTCCTGGTTCCGATGTTTAACTTTCACTGCCCCTCCCCCGTTTTTTGAGCAGCGATTAATCTGTGCGAGCCTCTTGGATGGATTCTTCTTTGTCCAAGCCAGCTTCCGTGAGGGGTCCAGGCTGTCGCCGACGGATCTCCTCAAAGGCCGCATCCGTTTGCACACTCGGCGGCACCCCAAGGTTGCCCGTGCCTGGTCTGCCTCTTCCTCGTAGCGGTCTCATATAACTTCTGCCCCCCTGGGGCTAGTGGCTCACTGTCCCTCTTGGGACCCGCGGAGTCGTATGCTGTACAAGTACCATTATGTCGTCTTGTTGCTCTTTCCTTCCCGTGCCCCGCTCGGGGCAGCGGGCTCGGCCTCGCTCTCTGCTGATGCCCGTGTCGGGGCTCCCCGAAAGTTGCTCTCTCTGCTCCTCTCGGGGTCCTTTGCGCGGCCCGTATTTCCCCAAACAGTGCTTCTCGCGGCGTCCACTGGCTGTTGCAAGTGGCAAGCCTTGCTTCAGCTGTATTGGCCGCAGATAATTCCTCTTTAATTTTGCTTCCCCCAGGTTACCGATGAAGCACCGCGAGGCCCCGCTTGCTCTCTGGAGAGAGATTTTGTGAGGGCAGGGTCTGTTTTCCTCGATCGTCGCCTGGCCACGGGCTTAGCTTCTGATCGGCCCTCCCTCTCTCTCAGGGTATGCACTCGGTGGGATTTTAGCAGTTGTGTTGCAGGATTTGTTGTTACCGTGTATTTCCCATCTTGTGATGAATTGACGTTGTGTCACCTGCATGGCGCCCAACCTCCGAGTTGGTTTGGCATCGTTTGCGCCCGTTGCCAGGACTGGACTCACTGCGCCGATTGTCATCCCTCATTGCTGTCGGACCCTGGGGGGGGGGGGGAAATCATCATCATCATCATCATCATCATCATCCTCATCATCAACATCGATTTCGGCACACACATGGAGCTCCACCGAAGGCCCCAGTGGCAGGGTCCGCGCCTCCCCACCACCCATTTCGGCACACCCCTCACACGTTTCGTGGCCCCATAGGGAGCTCCACCGAAGGCCCCAGTGGCTGCGTTCGCATGCCTCCCCACCACCCATTTCGGCACACCCCTCACACGTTTCGTGGCCCCATAGGGAGCTCCACCGAAGGCCCCAGTGGCAGGGTCGCATGCCTCCCCACCACCCATTTCGGCACACCCCTCACACGTTTCGTGGCCCCATAGGGAGCTCCACCGAAGGCCCCAGTGGCTGGTCCGCATGCCTCCCCACCACCCATTTCGGCACACCCCTCACACGTTTCGTGGCCCCATAGGGAGCTCCACCGAAGGCCCCAGTGGCAGGGTCCGCATGCCTCCCCACCACCCATTTCGGCACACCCCTCACACGTTTCGTGGCCCCATAGGGAGCTCCACCGAAGGCCCCAGTGGCAGGGTCCGCATGCCTCCCCACCACCCATTTCGGCACACCCCTCACACGTTTCGTGGCCCCATAGGGAGCTCCACCGAAGGCCCCAGTGGCCGTTCGCATGCCTCCCCACCACCCATTTCGGCACACCCCTCACACGCTTCGTGGCCCCATAGGGAGCTAATGCCTCCATTTCGGCACGTTTCGTGGCCCCATGGAGCTCCACCGAAGGCCCCAGTGCAGCATGCCTCCCACCACCCATTTCGGCACACCCCTCACACGTTTCGTGGCCCCATAGGGAGCTCCACCGAAGGCCCCAGTGGCAGGGTTCGCATGCCTCCCCACCATTTCGGCACACCCCTCACACGTTTCGTGGCCCCATAGGGAGCTCCACCGAAGGCCCCAGTGGCAGGGTCCGCGTGCCTCCCCACCACCAATTTCGGCACACCCCTCACACGTTTCGTGGCCCCATAGGGAGCTCCACCGAAGGCCCCAGTGGCTGCGTCCGCATGCTTCCCCACCACCCATTTCGGCACATCCCTCACGCGCTTCGTGGCCCCATGGGGATTTCCACTGAAGGCCCCAGTGACTGGGTTCGCATGCGCCCCCACACCCATTTCGGCACACCCCTCACACGTTTCGTGGCACCACAGGGAGCTCCACCGAAGGCCCCAGTGGCTGCGTTCGCATGCCGCCCCCACACCCATTTCGGCACACCCCTCACACGTTTCGTGGCCCCGCAGGGAGCTCCACCGAAGGCCCCAGTGGCTGCGTTCGCATGCGGCCCCCGCACCAATTTCGGTGCACCCCTCACACGTTTCGTGGCCCCATAAGGAGCTCCACCGAAGGCCCCAGTGGCAACGTTCGCATGCCGCCCCCACACCCATTTCGGCACACCCCTCACACGCTTCGTGGCCCCATAGGGAGATCCACCGAAGTCGGTATTCACACCAGCATTACTCACAACTGCATATGGTCGGGTCCTTCGCCAGGTTAATTTTGTCCACGGCGCCGCCAAGGGGCACGGGGTTGCCTGTCGCCTTGAGGAACTTCCGTCGCGAGCATCTGCGGGCGTCGCGCTTTCCACCAGACGGCTGCCACGTGCCGTCTTTCTGCTTATTGCCCTTCCTCCATTTGATCACCAGCCCGTTGGGGGAGTTCTTGTCGATGCCCCCACACTGCTGGTCGCGCTCCGAGCGCGTCAAGTCGACATCGCCGTCGACGCGGCACTCTTCGTCAGCTGGCGTTGTCGATGGCCTCTCACCCGTGGCGCTCGCCTTAGGGGGTAGCGGCTTGCTGGGGGCAGCCGCGCGTCTCCCCGCGGCGTCGGGGGCAGTGCTGCGGGGGCGCGAGACACTTCAGCAGCCGGAAGAACTGACCTGACCCTGGACATGGCAATGGGCGGTGGGCACAAAAGGGGCGAGGGGGCGGGGGAGGGGCAGGCGGGGGGGTGTGGGAGGGGGAGGGCGCGACCCCTGCGCGACAGCACTGAGTGGGGACATCTGCATCGCGGTGGGGCCCAAGCCGCGAGAAACCCCTGCCTTCCCCCCTCCCCCCCCCGCCCTCTCGTTGTCCTCCTCGCTCCTCCTTCGTCTCCCCCGTCCCGCGCCCTTTCCCGAGGCGGCGCCCCTTCCTCCGTCGGCCCCCGCTCCTCTGTCCCACTCAGGCGATTGGGCCCCAACTCGCGCGCTCCGTCGACGCGCGGGCCCCACGGGGCCCCGGCCTCGGGCCCCCGTCGCCCGCCCCAGAGACCCCCGCGCCAGAGCTTCGGCCCCCCTCGAGGCCCTCGGGCACCTCGGGGACAGAAGGCCCCCCACCCCCCGCTGCCGCGGCGATCGGGGCGCAGCCCCGACTCCAGGATTGGCCGAGACTGCGCCGCGGGGGGCGTTGTCCATTTGAGACCAGGCTAAAACCAACGCAAGACCAATTTAAGGCAACTGAAACCAACCTACGGCCAACTTCGAAACGGTCGAATTCCCTGGTACATCCCTCAACAGAAAACGACATAGCTTGCAAAACCCATGCGGCGGCGGTTGCGATGGCTGCTCGTCGCTGGATGGCGCGTCGCCGCGGCCGTGCTAGCGCGCGCAAGCTCGCGCGCAGAGCGGCCGGCTAGTCTGGGGCGATCGACGTGGTCGCGGTGGCGTTGACCGCTGGGGACTTCCCAGCGCGCATCGCAAGTCGCGTTAACGCAGGGGCATTTCAGCGCGAGTCGGTGGCTCGGGCGGGCGCTGTATGTCGACAGCGGCAGACGCGATGATGACAGTAGCGGTGCTGATGGCGACGATGATGATGACTATGGCAAGGTCAATTGCGGTGCCGATGCTGATCATGCCGATGACGATCATGGCCCCCCCGCGTCGGCGATGAAGGTCGTGGGCGGATTTCGACATGCGCGAGCGGCCGGCGGTCGCGAGTGGCCCGCGTGGCATTCTTTGATTGCCCCCCCCCGCAAACGCGCGGGGTGCGCGAAACATTCCGACGCGCCCGCGCGAATGGTCGCATTCGGTGAACATGTTGATGAACCGATGATCCCCGAACGAAGGTGCAATGACGTGCGCCTTTTTTGTGTGTGTGTGTGCGTGTGCGTGTGTGTGTGTGTGTGTGTGTGTGTGTGTGTGTGTGTGTGTGTGTGTGTGTGTGTGTGTGTGTGTGTGTGTGTGTGTGTGTGTGTGTGTGTGTGTGTGTGTGTGTGTGTGTGTGTGTGTTGGGGAGGGGAATTCGTGTGCAAACCAGCTGTCGTTATATATGTGTTCGGGAAACTGGAATTCTCAATCTCCGACGCACATGTGTTTGTTTGGCTGGGGAAGAATAAATCTAGGATGCGCTCGCGACGACCTGCATGTTTTTATTAACCAAGTTGTGGCGTTGGGTCTTCGCGTTGAGGAGGCAACGCCCCGCGTTCGTCTTCTCCTCCTCCTCCTTTCTTCCTCCTCGTTTTCCTCCTTCTCTTCCTCCTCATCCCGCTCTCCCTCCTCCCCCGTCCCCTCCAGCTCCTCCTCCACCTTGCTTCTGCGCTCTGCATGTCAACCAGTTTGGCACACCCCTCACACGCTTCGTGGCCCCATATGGAGCTCCACCGAAAGCCCAAGGGGCGCCGCCTGCATGCGCCTGACCAATTCATTTCGGCACACCATTCACGAGGATCGTGGCCCCATGTCCCAAGGAGCGCCGCCCGTATGCGTCGCACCTACACATTCTGGCAGACCCGTCACACGTCTCGTGGCTCCATAAGTAGCCCCACCCAAGACCCCAAGGGCGCCGCCCGCATGCGTCCGACCCACCCATTCCGGTACACCCCTCACGAGGACCCTGGTCCCTCCTCCTCCAATTCCTCCTCCTCCCCCTCCTCCTCCCCCTCCTCCTCCGCGATGTTCGGGCACATTTTCTGATTGATCAGGCCTTCCTGGGAACGCAGAGGCTTTGGCATCAAACTGGGACACGCCAGGCTTACGCGACTCACCAATTTACGGTTTGCAGACGACGTAGTTCTCCTTGCACCGAATTTACGACAACTAAGAGTCATTCTTGCTGACCTCAAGAGAGAAGCCGGGAAGTGCGGGGTTGCATTACACTTGGACAACACCAAAATCTTTAGCAGCCTCACCAAACGGCAAGGGCGGACCATCACACACACACACACCAGCATTGACGGCGACGACATTGAGATTTTCAGCACAGACAGGGCAACCAAATACCTCGGCCGCCAGGTCACGTTTCACGACAACGGTTACCACCAAACTGAGCTTACCAACGGAGTTGCGACAGGATGGCGCCGGTTCAACCAGCTCCGCGACGAGCTCACCAGCAAACGATACCCACTACACAGCAGGCTCCGCCTTTTCAGCGGAACAGTGAGGCCTGCTGTCATGTATGGCTGCGTATCGTGGACGATGACCAAGGATATGCTTCAAACGCTGACGCGCGCTCAACGACGGATGCTGCGATTCATCGTACAACCCCACGCAGCACTGACTGCAAGTTTCACATCTGCAACTGAGGACCCCGGCCCGCCCACGCCGGCCTTTCAGGCCACGCCCCCTCCTCCATTTCCATCATAAACAGCATGATCATCGTCGCCACCACCATCGTAATCACCGTCGTTGCCGTCAGCATCGGTGGCATCGTCATCGTGGTCGCTGTCATGATCTCGTTCGTCGCCACCAATTCCGGCACACCTCTTTGGCCCCTTGGGCAGCTCCACTCTAGGCCCCAATGGCGCAGTCCACATGCGTCCGCACCAGTCAGTTCGGCGCACCCTTCACGAGGATCGTGGCCCCATGGGGAGCTCCACCCGACGCCCCACGGGCGCCGTCCACATTTGCCCACGCCGCCCATTGCGGCACACTTTTGCACGCGTGTCGAGCCACCCATGTCGGCGCACCCTTCAGACGTTTTGTGTTTCCATAAGCAGTTCCACCGACCGCCGCACCAGCACCGTCCACATGCGCCCGTGCCACCGAGGTCGGCACACCCCTCACACGCTTCGTGGCCCGATCGGGAGTTCCACCGAAAAGGCCCCGCGGGTGCCGTCCACACGCGCCCGCGCCATTCATTTCCGCATTCCGCTCACACGTTTCGTGGCCCCACAGGGAGCCCCACCCAAGGCCTCAGTGGCAAAATCCTCAGGCGCCCACGTCACCCATTTCCTTAGGCTTCGTGGCCCCATAGGGAGTTCCACCCAAGGCCCCACGGGCACCGTCCACATGCGCTTGCGCCACACATGTCGGCACACCCCTCACACGCTGCGTGGCCCCAAATGCCGCTCCACCCTAAGCCGCAGCGGCACCGTCCACATGCGCCCGCGCCGCCCATTCCGACACACCCCTCTCACACGCTTCGTGGCCCCATAAGGAATTCCACCCAAGGCCCCACACGCTCCATCCATTTCCGCACACTACTGACACGTTTTGTGGCTCCATAGGGAGCTCCACCCAAGGCCCCTGTGGAAACGTCCGCATGCGTCGCCGACGCTCATTTCGATACGCTTCGTGGCCCCATAGGGAGCTCCACCCAAAGCTCCACGGGCACCGTCCACATCGGTCCGCGCCACCCAAGTTCGTCCACCTTTCGCGCGTGTCGTGCCCCCATATGGAACCCCACCCAAGGCCCCATTGGTACCGTTTTCTGCGCCACAAATTTCGGCACACCTTTCATACCATTTGTGGCCCCATAAGCAGTTCCACGGAAAGCCGCATCGGCACCGTCCACATGCGTCCGCGCCGCCCAGTTCGGCACACCCTTCACACTCTTCTTGTCCCACAGGGAACTCCACCGAAGGCCTCGCGGGTACCATTTTCATGCGTCCGCGCGACCCATGTCGGCACACCATTCGCACGTGTCGTGGCGGACCCTCATATGGCGCCGCGGTCCTCGTGAGGGGTGTGCGGAAATGGGTGGGTCGGACGCATGCGGGCGGCGCCCTTGGTGTCTTGGGTGGGGCTACTTATGGAGCCACGAGACGTGTGAGGGGTGTGCCAGAATGGGTTGGTGGGTGGGACGCATACGGGTGGCGCTCCTTGGGACCTTCGGTGGAGCTCCCCATGGGGCCACGATCCTCGTAAGTGGTGTTCTGAAATGAGTTGGTCGGACGCATGCGGGCAGCGCCCCTTGGGCTTTCGGTGGAGCTCTATATGGGGCCACGAAGCGTGTGAGGGGTGTGCCGAACTGGTTGACACGCGGAGGGTAGAGGCAAGGTGGAGGAGGAGCGGGATGAGAAGGAGGAGGAGGAGGAGGAAGAGGAGGAGGAAGAGAAGAGGAGGAGGAGGAGGAAGAGGAGGAGGAGGAGAGGAATGCGGGGCGCTGTCTCTTCAAGGCAATGATTTGATTATCTCGGAAGCCTCTTGGGACGTTTTTTTTTGTCGGCCGAGTGGAGACTATCTGGGCGTCTTGGATTGATCGTGCGGCGATTCGAGGCCCCTTGGGGCCTTCTTGGGCCAGCTGCGCAAACCCCAGGGAACACCAGGGAATCCCGGGGAATTCCCGGCAATCCCAGGGAATCCCCAGCAATCCATGGCGATCCCCGGGGATCCCCGGGAATCCTAATGAAACCCGGGGTCCGGGCTTTTAAACTTGGCAGCTCTTCATTTGTCAGGGCTGCGTGGGCCTTTGAGCTCTCCACTACGTGCTGAAGGCACGGTGGCGTGCGTGTATATATGCATATGCATATCTAAACATATGTACATACAGATGTATATATATATATATATATATATATACGTGTGTACACATTTGTATATGGGGAGAGGGAGAAAGCGGGGCCGCTTCGAACATATTTTGAGATTTGGCAGGGGCGTCGGGAGGTACGCCTTCTGCCAGTCCCAGTGCACCTCGAACTACGACCCCGCCCGCCACGACGAGGCTGGTGCGCGTTTCTTCCTTCTCCTTGCCGATGGGGAGGGGAGGAGGGCGGGGGGAGGAGGGGGGAGGAATCGGAAGGGGAAGGAACACGGGAGGAGCAGGAACATCATGAAAGGGATTCCAGAGGATGAGGGGCATGAACGTATGTAGCGGCGTCGGCGGCGACGACGACGCTCACGTGGAGCAGATTCTTCAGTGATGCTTTGTGCCGCCCCTTCGGAACGCACTCTCAGGCCTTTGGGGTGCAGTTTCGGGGCCACTTTGGAGCATTTTGGGGGCCTCTTGGGAGCCTCGTTGGGGTCCCTTCGAGCTTCCTGGGGGCCTCTGGGGTTGCCTTTTGGGGCCTCGGGAGGGTCTAGGGGGCCTCTTGCGGCCTCCTGGGAGCATCTCGGAGCCGATGACTCGAAATGTTCATTCGGGCTCCCGTGTGGGCACCCCCTTGAAGCCGTTTTGGGGCCGTCTCGGATGCCTCTTGGGGGCCTCTTGTGCCGATCTTGGTGGCATCTTGGGGCGTCGGGAAGCCGAAAAGGCGAGAACGCCAGAACCTTTCAAAAGCCCGAAAGAAAATAATTAAATCTTGTCTGTTGGGGCCCTCTTGGTGTGCTCATAGAGGCCTCGTCGGGTGCATTGGAAGCCGCTGGGGCTATCAGGAGGCCATCTTCTGCGTCTTGGACCGATCGTTCGGCGATTCGGCGCCCTCTTGGACAGTTCTGAGGGCCTCTTGGACTGTCTTGGAGCCTTTTTGGGCCGAAGCCCCGGGAATATTCTGATCCGGACCCCCCCCAGGACTTCCCCCCCCGGGACCCCCCCCTTCAGATTCCGAAGGCGCGCCAGTGGATGGCCCTGAATACACAAAAGGGGGGGGGTTGCTCGCAGAACCCCCCCCCCTTTCAAAGGAGGGGTGAGATTTTCGAGCCCAACCCCCCCCTTCCCCCCTTAAGGGGGGGGGTCCGACCCCCCCCCTCCTCCCCTTGAAGCGGGGGGGGGGTCCGACTCTAAAGCGACCTGAGGGACGTAAGGAGTGGAAGCGAGCGTGCGCCCGCGGCCGCGTCGGCTCAAGCGGCCGGCCGCCCAAATTTGACGGTGCTTCACTGCGAGGCACACAATCGCTATCGATACCAAAATGATATTCCTATTGCTTGAGATGGCATCTCCTCTCATACTGGGACTATCGCTACTACGATACAACAGAGCTGGAGCTTGGCTTCGCCTGAGGCGACGCTGTTGGCTGGGCCTTCCAGCCCCCTTTCAAACTTGGTAGCGGAGCTGGCCTATGGTGGTCAGCTCTAGCACTACTCCTCGCCATCCACGGCACTATCTGGTGGACTACAGATACGGTGGAATATCAGGGTGCCGTTGGATTGCGCGGAGGAGTGTGCACAGTTACGCAGTACCGCAAGGAAACTTGCAGCGATACCTCTGTCCAAGCGGAGGCCTCTTACTCACATCTCACATCCCTGCGCGGTTACACTCCTGAAGTCCATCACCTACTCCAATTGAGCATTTCTTCGGAGACACAATGCGTGGAAATATGCGATACGATATACTGCCGCCTCCGACCCCACGCAGACCTACGACGACAAAACATAAGTCCCCACCGACTACATCCGACTACGACCTACGAGGCCATTGGATTGGGGTTGTTATATTTGGGCTCATATGGGTCGCTATTGGGTGTGCGGTTGGACATATGCGGGGCGGAGACTACACTAGAACGACTGGCCCCCGTTGGGACCCTGCCGGTCAAGTACCATTTCGCGAGTTCGTCCGCGAAGTACATGCCTGGATCAATGTGACCACAGGCAACATGACGCCCTCCCAGCAAGCCGCCGCATTGCAGCGAGGTTTGAGAGGTTTCGCACGGACTATAGCCATGAGAGTCCGCCCAGCAGTTATTAATTGTGGCGTCAATATAGGCGATCGCCACACCGACGGCGTCACCTACATTACGCTCCTCTTAAGTACGAAGGTCGAGAACCTAGAAGAGGAACACCAACTTAACTCTGGCACGGCTCTCATTGACTGTCGAATCCATGCGGATGAACGTATCGACCAGACGTTAGCACGGTTTGAAATAGCCCGCTACGAAGCCGAAGCCGCCGGCTTCGACATCCCCAACTTCCAAGTCTTAGCAGTAATGCTATTCAGAGCCCTTGGAATGGGGACATCGCGCGCACAACATTTCCTGCAGCCTCTGAACCACCACATGCCGAGGGACCAACCACAATTTGACGCTCTACTTGAACGCGCGAGGCCATATGCTCACATAGCAGAGAGGACCCCTGGCAATATTGGTGGTCTCTTTAGCCGCGGTCGCCGAACCGAGACCTTCCACGCAGATGCCAACGCAGGGTAACCTGCCAACATCGTCTGGAACGATGATTCACAGCCAACTGAGACCACTACACTGTTGGCTCAGATTGGTGGAACGGCTTCGGGGTCGCAAGGCCCCTGGGCCAGATCTGGGGGACCGCCCGTCGCTGCTTCCCCTATACAAGATATGGCCCTAATGGGCTCAGCGGGGCAACCCGCCGAGTCCGACTTCGACTCCGGTACCGATGCGGATACGTCTTCCGATGATGTAGCTACCGCCTTGGATTACTCTGATATGCCTACATACCTTACTGAAGAGCAGCAAGCTCAATGGTTATTTTTGGGCGATCAAAAAGAAGCGTCGTTGGCTGAGGTTCATGAGGAAATTCGTTCGGAGGGTAAGACGTATTGCGCGACGGTCGCTTGAAGGGAAAGGCAGGGGTCGAAGCAAAGGCAAAGGTCAGCTTCGTCGATTACATGGTAGAGGCATACTAGCATGCCTAGCGTCTCTTACTGGACCTCAGTAGGAGGAAATGTTGTTAGGTACTGGCAGAGACCGCAGGCATACATCAGGCAAAGGTAAAGGACGACGAGGATATCCAAAGGATGCCAACGGTAAAACCATGGAGTGCGACATATGTCACAGCACACAAAATTTCCGACGCGAGTGGAAGAGGCAGGAGTCCGTCAACACATCTGGCTCAAACGGGCTCCGACATGCAGCATGTTGATTAGGGGTCCCTTTTAGCCGACCCTGCCGACAGCTCAGCCACAATTTTTCATTTCATGGCTGCCAGGTATCTAAGTGCCAGCATGACCCTCGATAATTTCGCCGACGAGCTGTTCGAGGAGGTATCCACTGGCCACAGCGGTATCGACTTGGCAGAATGGCTGGGTGTACCCATCGCGGGGCAACCTGCAGATATTGAGTTTGTCGAGGACTTCCACGTGCCCGTCGAAGGCGATTTTGGCATGGCGGGGGCACCCGCGGGCTCAGATTCTAACATTCCTGCAACAGATGAGGAAATGCATGCAACGCTTTATCCTCGGGTGATTGGAAATCCGACAAGCACGGAATTAATCGATGATGACCCACTGCGGGGAAACCCGCGCGACGCTGGTGATCTTTCCGAGCGCATTCAATGCGAGCTTGGGCATAACGGAGAATTTCAATATAGTTCTGTTGCATCAGATCGGTCGGCCAGCAGCCCGAGACGATCGCCAAGCCGCCTGCCCGTGATAAGGAAGAGCAATCATGACCATGCAAATCGCTCCCCAGTGGACGAGGAGGACGAGCGGAAGGACGATGACCGCATGATACGTCGCGATCGGGCTCCCGGTCATTCACCAGATCGCGCGCGAGCCCGCTCTAGCGGCGCTCGTTCGAGCGGCGGCCAGCGCTCTCATCCCCCTATGCGGGGGCCACAGGGGGCCCGCCGTGGCAGGCGACAAGAGCGCATGCTCCCCAAAGAAAGGACCGTCTGCGGGGAATCCCGCCTCGAGATGACCAACATCGCGGAGGAGAATATCCAGAAGGTGACATACTGCGTTTGAATGGCGCCACTGAAGCTGCATTGGCTCGTCAGCACAGACTCGCAAACCTGATGGAATACTGGTTGGAAAGGGGTTGGAATGAGCATCGAATCCGGCACTGGTATTCTCTTCGTCAGGTCATGAGAGATGACGCAGGCAATCTCATTCATTCAAAGGCGGGACCTACCAATTCGCAAGATAAGATTGTCAAGCGCGATCTCAAAAGGGCCATCATCGGATATTGAAAGAGCTACAAAGGCGTTCGCTGCCATTGCCCCTGTTGCGCTGATCACAGGCTCGGCTGCCCCATGAGACGCCCATCAAGAACCCCGAATTTCAAGCGAACTCCGCGGGCTTGGTCTCATGGAGATGGTCGGGGTCACTGTCCTGATCCCAACACTACGCCATAACTTGAGCAGCTGACGGAAAAGATTACGACCCCGCCACCTCTGAAGAAACAGCTTGTTTGAACTTGGTTTGGCAGGACTTGATGCCCACTCGCTGCTTGGCGCAGTTCAATCGCGAGTGGCATGCGGGGGAACCTGCTGATCATAAAACAGCAGAAGGAAGCGAACAAGAAGCTGGCTATGATGAAGATGATGAAATGGCTGAAGAAGTTGTTCCTACGGGCGCTGCCCCTGGCGGCGGTGAGTCAAGCGACTCGGGTATTACGGGCGTCACGTGCGAGACGGATGCTCCGATCGACCCCGAGTACGTCGTCGCAAGAGATATGGATCTATCTCCTGGGAGGCAGATTGTTTACCGCGCTGATTCTACTGGCTGGATAACGACGCACATCGTCGAAAGACGAAACGCCGATAATTACTTAGTTGCACATAAACGAAAGGTCCACATTGAGAATCTGGCCCTCAGGAGGCCGGACGGTATCGATCTGAATATTGACCGATGTCCCATGCAATATGCACCTGGGATGACGGAAGGAACCACGGCAAAGGCAACTCCTAAGCCGAAGCTAGAGACGATCGATCTTCCTTCACCTTCTGATTCATCAAGCCTATCTCTTGGCCCTGATCATCTCGAGCTCAAGAACAGAAGCGGAAGAGCCCAGATGATCCCAACCTTGGGGACAGCAAGCAGCAGCGACATGCGGGGCAACCTGCTGATCGACAACGATCCAGAGGACCAGCAGCGGC